TCTTTCCAAGGATAAAAAATCCATAGTGCTTTGAACTCATCTCTTTACTCTAAAGAAAGTTTTGTTTTGTTTTGTTTTTTATTTTCCCAAGACCCAAAGTTCAATTATGTCTACTAATAGCAATTTAAAAGCATTTAAACAAAATAGCCTTGACTTCTAGGCTTCTAAAAGGGCACTTCCAAAGTAAATCTTCCTTGTTTAACAGCTGTCAACTGTCAATGAACTACAGGTAATTAAATTTGAAGATAGCTTTATGGCTCAGAAAAATAGATAAAATCCTTGGACCAGAAAGGTCTTAAGTTAATGTAGTTATTTTCCCCTTTGGTATTTGAATTAATGCAAGAAACTGATTGTTTCCTAATGAAACAGGTAAAGAAAAGAAGAGAGCCACAATTATTTGTTACTTGCAACTTAAATCCAGTTGAGCCCATTTTCCCAGCTAAGATCACACACTTGGTCTTATTTCAGTATGGATTAGAAAGAGAAGGGGAAAAAGAAAAAAAGACCACCTTTCAAAAAAGAATCCAAACTAGGGCCTCCCCGGTGGCGCAGCAGTTGAGTGCTGGGTTGCAAAGCTGCCCGCGGCCTTTGCAGCACCAGTTCAATCCCTGGCTGCTCCCCGGCCACCGGAGGAGGGTCCCACATGGCGTGCAGACCTCTCCTGCTGCCCGCTGCTCCCCTCAGCAGTGTACTTCGGTCCTTCTGCCTGCTCTGCTCCCCGCTCTGGCTCTGGTGAATTCTCTCACCCTCCCGCGCTTCTGACTGTACCCAGTGCTTGTATGAATAAATAAATAAATCTTTAAGAGTTTTTTTTTTAATTTTTTTTTTAAATAGAGGCATGTTTTTATTTATTTATTTATTTGTTTGTTTGTTTTGTTTATACATACATGCACTGGGTACAGTCAGAAGCGCGGGAGGGTGACAGAATTCACCAGAGCCAGAGCGGGGAGCAGAGCAGGCAGAAGGACCAAAGTACACTGCTGGGGGGAGCAGTGGACGGCAGGCAGGAGAGGTCTGCGGGCCATGTGGGACCCTCCTCCGGTGGCCAGGGAGCAGCCTGGGAGCAGCCGGGGATCGAACCGGCGCTGCAGAGGCCGCGGGCGCATCGCAACCCAGCGCTCAACTGCTGCGCCACTGGGGAGGCCCAATAAATAAATCTTTAAAAAAAAAAAAAAAAAAGAATCCAAACTAAAACCATGGTGAGTGGGGAAAGGTGGTAGTTAGAGCTTGTGAACATTCGAAGGATGGATCAGCTTTTTGCATTTCTATAACAAAAAAAAAAAAATGAAAACCTTAAATCCAAGTGCCTAAATAATGCAAGTTTTCTTCTTGTTTCTTGTCTGGTATATCAGAAATAGTCCTATGATAGAGCTATTCCTAGGTTACTTCAGTAATTCAATGCTTTCCTACAGAACTCGGCTTTTTTTTTTTTTTTTTTTTTTCTGGATTACTGCTTGCTACTTACAGCTAGAAATCTTTGTAGCCGTGACTGCTGCAAGTAGTTGCTCATGTACCATTGTCTAGAGGTAGAAAAAGAAATTACCTCCTTGTTTTCTTTTTCTTTTTTTTTTTTTTTTTTTTTTTGGTGGCTAGTTTTTAAGACACAAAAGAATACTTCTCTTTAGATCTTTGTAACCAAAAAAAGCCACAAGGCCTGATTTAAGCCTCTTATGAACTAGCATGATGGGACCTTACAGGTTGGCATAGATCAATTCTGCTAAAAGGGAAGGAAGGAAAATATGTTAGGCTCAACATCAGTACTGTCTCCTGCTGAAAGGACATAATTCTTTACTGTGTGCTGGTGGAATATCCTTTGATCCTTTGAGCTATGAATTAATATAACTAGTGTGTAGATGAGGAAATTGAAATTAAGGGATGGAGCCAAGATTTCAACTGAGAAGTGTCTTATTCCACTTACTCATTCCACATCACAATGTTTCCTGAACATCCTGATTCATCTTCATTTTCAGTTACTATTGTTCTTTTTTCATCTCACAATCAATGAACCTCTGTGCTTTGCTTTTCACCTGAGAGGTACTCTTCATCGGAGCTTCTACACAGTTTCTTTAGGTTATGTACACTTAGAGCTTCACACTGTCCATGAGAACTGGCAGTCTCTACCTTCAGATTTGATATTTCTAATCACAAATTAATTGTGTAGTTTTGCATGTTTGTAGGATATTTCTGCTTTGATTTGAATTTGCCAACACTTTAGTAATCCCTCTGCCAAAAATATATCCCTTATAGTAGTAAAGGCAAGCTCATTTCTCCTGTTCTTAGTTTACAAGTTTGGAAGGCATTTACATCTTCCTTTTATCCCAGGACCAGCTTGACATAAAATCATTACAAATCCTTATTTTAAGTGTTTTTCATATCAGTTCTTCTTTTCCATCTCTAGTATATGAAGTCTTTATCAACATCACATCTGGAAAAGCATCTCTTAATTTTCTACTCTTACATGCTCCAAAAGTATCTTGCACTCTCAAAAAGGTTACTTAAAAAAAAAAAAAAGATTTGTATCATTGTTTTAATTTCCTGACCAAATAATTTGAGTAGATCCTACATTTTAATAAAATGAGGCACTGAATATATTAATAAATATAAATCAAGCACTGTAATTCTCTATTTTCTCCGTGTGCAAAATTTTTTCCTATATTTCTGGCTGAAGCTTGATGTCTTGCCCTATGGCATAACAGATTGTTACTCAGGTACCCCTCCAGACAACAGGATAGGTACTCTTTTCATTACTTGATGTGTGTTAGCAATTTATACTTCACAGCACCTCCGTGATGGACTCACTATTATTATCCTGACTTTACATACTAGAGTACAAAGGGGTTAAGGAACTTGCCAAGTACAGATGGAAATGAAATGGCAGAGACAGTATCAGACTCCAGTGCTTGGGTCCCAGAGACCATGAACTCAGTTATATTTTTACAGAAAGAAATCATCCAACCTTATGTCTTTCATAAGATGAAAACCAAACTATAAAATACTCTGAGTTTTAGGTAAAATCAAGGCTGCCTGTGTCTTCAGCTTTTATTGGAATCTGTGTTTTCTCTCATGTTTTGAGCTCCTGATTTTTTTTTTTTCCTATCTCAGCAATATACTCTAGTCTAACAGGATTTTACTTTCTTCCTGAATGATATCCCATCATCATCTCTTGCTCTGTCCATGAGGGAAGCCGTTCTAGTTTCTGGGCCAGTGACACCACCACTACCAATGGTGTTCCCTGTCTGTGAATGATTCTAGTGAGGTTCAGTAACTGGGTCAACATGCTGCATCTCACATCTCCTATTTCCAAAGATGTGTCATCTAGTCTATTGATTCGATGATCTTCTAATGCCTTTTGTTTTTGTCTCCTCTTAAGACTTACTCTTAATATTTTTCTGAAAAACTTTTTCCTAACTTCATTATTCCTTTCACACATAGAAAATCCTTTCATTTTATGGACAGAATATCAAATAGTATGCTTTAGGGTAAGAGGGTAGTAACTTTATGGATTTAATTCCTTAAATTAAAAAAAGGAAAATCTGTATTTTATCTAATAGCATGTCTTTGTTATAATTATTAAATATTGATAATATTAGCACTATTTATAATAACTATTAGAACTTAATAAATAGATTGAATACTTTGTTATGAATAAATTGAATACTACCTGCATTAATTAAATTGATTTCCCTGGGAACTCTGTAGAAGTTACTACTAAAGTTGCTTTTTACAAATGAGGAAATTAAGGCAGAGAGAGGTAAAATAACTTGTTTATGTTGCAGGAAGTTTAGAGCCACAAGCTGACTTCATAATCACTATGTTGATTATGGTATTTTCAGATTATTTGCTACATATAAAACTACTCGAAGGAAATTATGGAAGACAGTTTGCATTGGTGAACCCAGAAAAAGGTCAAATTTGTGACTTCTCTATCTTCATATATTGGCTATAACCCACATGCTCACAGAATATATACAAGGTTTCCTATGGGAATTCTTGTAATTTCCAATTTTGATTTACAGTGAACAATAGCAATATCAGAATATCTAGAAATTATTTATAATTGAATCACTAAAAATTTAGAAATAGTTTGTCGTCGAGCAGTAATTGCCAAAAGTAGGTCTTTTGTAGTTTGTCACTCTCTTAAATTCATAATCAAAAGAACAAATAAATCCTGAACCATTCAAAGGAAAAGACTTAAATCATGCAAAGGAGCATTCTGACTGAAAAAAAAAATGAATCTGCCATAAAGATGATTGATTTTTTTTATCATCATGATGCACTCATATCTTCAAAGTTTAGCTATACAGGCACATACTTAAAATAAAGGAAGTTAAATAACAAAAGTCACTGATCATTAAGATACTGAAAATGTAAAAATTCAGAACATCTGATAATTCTTATTTTCTTTTTTTATATATTCATTTCTATAATCTTATTTAAGTGACACTGCATTTTGAGTGAGTTGTAATGAGTAGGTTTACTTGCAAGTATTTTGTAGAAAATATATTAAACTAGTTATAATCATGTTGAGAAGTATAATAGAGTAAAAAATAATAATCCTAAATGATAATAATAATTATATTATTAGTCCAATAATAGAACATTAGGAGAGGCTAGGATGACATACACGTGTAATTGTTTTTAGTTTTTGCTCAGTATGCTCATTTACTATTTTTTTGATTGATCTCTTTTAGCTAGTTTTAAGCTAATGGCAGACAATAACAAATATGAGTTGAAATTGTCACAAACTGTCAATAATTTTTCTATCATGTAGTATTCAATAAGCTTTGACATTGCATTTATTGTTTTATGTATTTTTTTCAGCACGGAGACAATAAATAAAAATATCCACTAATTTAGCTCTACTTTAAAATTATTTATTATTGTAAGATGAAATGTATCTTGATTTTTTTTGGTTAATATTTCTGTAAACCTTTTGATTAAAATAATTAATTCATAGAACCAAGCTACTCTAGTTTCATTTATGCTGTTCACTATTTCAGAACTTCGAGAAACGAAGACATCTGAGTACTTCAGCCTAACCCACCACCCTTTGGACTACAGGATATTATTGATGGATGAAGATCAGGACCGGATATATGTGGGCAGCAAAGATCACATTCTTTCCTTGAATATTAACAATATAAGTCAGGAACCTTTGAGTGTAAGTTTATCATTTTTATGAGGGCTGTGTTCACTAGGTGCCATTGTCTTTAAAAATTTCAAATATTAATGCAAATAAAAACTTATGTATTACATTACAATAGAAAATACCGGCTATTTGTCAATAGTTGGATGTTAGTACTTATTTCATGGACTGAAAATATAATAAATTCACTTTTTCCCATATAGTTTCACAGTTTTTAATAATCCAAAACTTGAAACTAAATGAAAAATTATTTATACAAATGTATACACAATCCTGTGTATATGTGAGAAAAAGAGAATCATGGCATAACATGAAAAAATGATCAGCTTGAAGAATGAACAATGTTCTCATCTGTATATAATCCAAGAAGGTCTTGAAAGGAACAGTTACTAAGTATACGCTTATTTGAAGATTATAGACTGTTTTTATTCTTCTATTTCACAAGAAGGAAATAAGTTGAGCTTCACTGTAGTAAAATAATAAGTATAAATTAATTATCAATTTATTGCAGCAAGAAAATAATTTATTATTTTACCTATGGGCAAGAGGCTGACAATTAAAAAAAAAAAAAAAAAACCTTCTTCACTGGCAGACCTGACCAAACGTTGTGATGATTTAGAATGCTAGCACATTACATCAGAGGGAGAATCTCTTGGATTATATATTTGTTATTTCAGCTTTTGAAGTATTTAAGAGCCTGTTTTAATGAAGTCTACCAACCCAGCTATGTAGATTACCAGAAATAATATTAAACTGATATAGCAATATAAATATAACTCCATTGTGATGTAAGCAGTTAAAAAAGTCTACCATAAATCAAAAGGAGGAAAATATACATTATATTATGCACATTTGTTAAAGAAAAATTAATGGAAGAAGTAACATAATTGTTAGAATAAAATAAAATCACTGTTTACTTCATTTCATGAAATGAAAGAATAAACCATTTGAAATAGAAGTATCAAAATACCTTGACGTCAATCTGTTGCCATAAAGTAAATGAAGAGCACTGAACTGCCATATACAAAAGTGAGATTATACAACCTTTATTTTCCTTTCTGAGCAGGTTTTCTGGCCAGCATCTACAAACAAAGTCGACGAGTGCAAAATGGCTGGCAAAGATCCCACAGTGAGTACTTAAAAATCTCCAAACTTAAATATTTGGTCTTTGAATTCATGTACCTTGAATGCAGCCAAATGTGAAACAAAGGGTGTTGGCATTTCAAATCTTCTGCTGGACACATGGTAAAAATGTAAATGCAAAGAGATTGGAGCTCTCAAACACTGTAACTAAGGAATTCCTGACAGGGTAAAAATGTCTTGCCTTGTATTCATTATTGCACTCTGACACTCTCATGATGGATTTCAGTAATAATCCCTGTTCCAAGTGGATTCAACCTGCAGAATTCTCAGCAGGCTGCTGAAATAATGATAATGCAAGTTTCTGGAGCAGCTCCCAGATACCATGTGGGCTTTTCCAAAGACTCTTTGCTAATGGGTAGTGGTTAGTCGGCACATTCCAGAGTTATAAATCACCAGTGATGACTGGTATCTTTGTTAATTGAAAATAGCCATAGGAACAAAATCAAGACAGATAGAAATATCAATAAATGTTCAGTAAGCAACACCTATGCAGGTTGTATTCTTTTAGGTGGTATATTTTATATGAGCAATCAAGGAATTAAGATATATAGATTTCTACAAATGATTTGTTGCAACTAAAACATAATTTTTTAAAAAATAGAACAGGTGACTTATGCACATAGTCATTTAATAATTATAATGAAGCAAAAATATGATTTCATCTTTTTAGTTTCAAATCATGAAAATTAACATGATGGAGGCAAGTATCTAAATCACTGCTCTTACATGAATAATTTGTAAAGGATTTTCTTTTTTTTTTTGTAAAGGAGTTTCTTATCTATTCTTTCAATTATTCAGTCAACAAATGTGGTAGAGCACCTATTATGTGTCTGGTACTGTGTTAATTGCTAAAGACATAATTTATAGCAAAAAGGGCAGAATTCTGTGGCTCTCATCAAACTCAATTATCTGTTATATGCTGAGGTTTGGCAGTGAGAGTTTCAGAGACATCAAATTAGTTCAAAAAACAAAAAAACTAATATTTGTGAAAGGAGAAATGTATAAATGAAACTTATTTTTATCTCATTTTGTTTTTTAACAGTATCACATATAAGGTCTGAAAAGGTCTAGCTCAAGGCAGTCATGAAAGACTATAGAGTAGGATCTCTGTGTCTCATTGAGGGTGTTCTTGGCAAAAGAGCTCAACAGATTGATTTACTATGAATCAGTTTCATAATTCACATTATGAGAGGAATTTAAAAACTAGCAGTAGGAGCTTAAGGGAGCTTATTTGCTATCCACGAGATCTGCTGGACCACAGTCTAAATGGAGAAATGTGAAAGAAACATTGAAAAAGATACATTACAATTGCCTTCCAGGGAACCATTTGTTGAATGAAGTATAATGTTGTAGGGAGGCTTTTGTATCCTCTGAAGCTATTACTTCAGTAATTGTGCATGAATTAAACCATTTTTTTTCATTCACTAATGTAGAGATTTTTCTTATTCACATGTATCCAATCATGTTTTGCCTTTTGCCACGGTAATATCCCATAGCTATATAATAGCTGGTTTAATTATTCCTTGTTCAAAAAAGATTTTCATTTTCCATTCATACATACTGCCATGGGCAGAATATGTGGCATTTAAATACCTTTGCACATTTTTCTTTCCAAAAATTGCTGCTGATATTCTGAAGAATCTCAGCTAAGTTTTTTTTTTTTTTTTGTCCCTTTGGGTAGGGCATGATGTCTGAATAAAACCATTAATGCATTTGGATTAATAATTTTTGTAGTTTATTCATTATGCACATATTTAAGTGTATTTTAGTTAAATTAAATCGTTCTGCTTTTAAATATTACGTTAAGCATCTACTAAGCAAAAACGTACTTGCCATTTACCTCTGTGTATTCAAATTCGTCATGCCCCATGTATATCTAAATGTTAATATTTTATACTCTAAATAAATTCAGCTTAAACAATAGCACTGTCAAATACTGTCAAACATGCCCAATGAAGTAAGATTATAAGAGATGATTGAAAAGGCAAGTAGAATTATAGACATATATTTAGACATACATGTGTTACGTACACAGTGTCAAACCTGTTTTATTAATTGTAGTATATATTAGTTTCCCTATTTCTGTGACCATATTATCCTAAAACTACTTGAAAATGTATTTTCTTTAGGAATAAATTCATCAAAACACCTTATTCCACAAGCCACAGAGAAATAGACAAGAAAAAGTATAAGAGCTTTTTAATTTTTCTGTTGCATATTCACAGTTCACCTGTGATCCAATCTATATTTTTAAACACATTTAGCTTTAAATTATAAAACTAATATATGTTCAATACAGAAAACATTGAAGGATTAGAAAAGCATACAGAAAACAGAAAGTAATCTATTATTAATTCTTTGATCCTGGAGTCTTAACATTGCTGTGCTTAATTTTCTCTCTTTGCAATGGGCCTACTTATACAAAGTATTTTACTGGGTTTTTAAGGGGATTAATGAACTAATATTTTCAGACAGCAGTAAACATACAGTAAACACATAATAAGTGTTATATTACAGTTAAGTAAATTAAATAAAATTGCACTACCCAATATATTAACTTAAAATTTGGGGGTATAGTCTCCTGGTATTTTATTATTTGACATGTGTATGTATGTAAATAAAATGCTACTTTATTCTGCATATGTTAGCAGCCTGATTTTTCAGTTAGCATTCTGCCAAGAAATAGTTTTGAAAGAGAAACAGTTAAAGCATTTGTGGTACTGAACTTCACTGTAATCTCATTCTTCAAACCTTTCATGGTTATCTGCTATGGTCAGGGCTTGTACTAAGCTCTGTGAGGAATAAATGCCTTATTTCACAACATTGAACTGACAGTTGAAATAAAAAATACATATGAAAGAATCTAACATCTGACACTTCTGTGGTCTATTATGTGCCAGACACGATTCCAAGAGCTTTATTAGTACATTGCTCACAACAAATAACATTATCACTGGTCACAGATAAAAGGATTGAAGCATAGGAAGGCTAAGTAAATGTCTTAAATTCAAACAGCAAGTAAAAGATAAATCCAGAGTTTGAACTCAGGTCACCTGGCTCTAAGATTTATATGCTTAAAACCACTGACTGCTGCTCATCTGAAAACTATGGCATGATGACAGACCAACTTTAATTGCTTCTCTAGTTTCACCACACAATAATCCTCTATCCCCTGTGGGCATTATTCCCCAAGTAAATCCTGCACTGTCATGCCTCCATTTTTGAATTCACGCTCTGTTTTCTTTTGGAATGTTGTTTCCTTATGCTTTTGCCTGTCAACATCTCTAGCTTATTCTGCAAGTCCCTGCTCAAATGATGCTCCCTTTCAAACCTATACACCCAGTTCAGCATTGTTCTTTCTCTCCTCTCTCCTTCCATAGCACATTGTGAAAAATATAACCTTTATAGTATCTACCAATGCCTGATGTATTATGCCCTCCTTTCACTGAAAGCAGAAATTGAATCTATTCATTCCAGTGTTGCTAGCACCTTGTATAGTGTTTGCATTGAATGAGTTCAGTAAATATTTGGTGGATGGAACTGACAGGATTGCAGTGGTCTAGGTCAGAAATGATGTGGACAGAAACTAAAGCAGCACAATGGAAACAGGAAAGACCTAAAAAATGATTTTCAATAATTAACTGGTTTCTTTTTCCTTTTGTGTTCTCACGTATAGGTAGATGGAGAGGCACTCTGATCATCAGATAGCAAGAAAAGCCATGTCATTGATAATCAAGCCCTTCTCATAGAAAAACTGGATAATGGAGGGAAGCTTGGTTAAAGTCTCAGTTCAGTTACTTATTAAACCTATAATACTTCCTTTACCTCTTTGAGACTCAATTTGCTCCTCACTAAAATAGAACTAGTACTTTAATTGAAACTTTGCTAGGGAGATTAAAGACAACACCAAAGGATTAAAGACTCTGTAAACATTAATAGCTGCTATAAAAAAAATTCCCCTTTGACAACTGTAGTTAAAAGTATGAGATTCAGTGATACACATATCTGAGTTTGAAAATTTGCATTGCCAGTATCTGGCTATGTAATCTCAAGGAAGTTAACTGAAAAGTTATAAACCTCATTTTCCTAAAAGGGGTTAAGTTGTTGTAAATACTGAAATGAATGCAAAATGCCTAAATAGCCTATATTATGCTCAATGAGTGTGAGTTATAAAGGTGAAAAATTAAGTCTCCTGACAAATTGAAATATATAAAATGATTATTCCAATGTCTTGCATATAATACTGAACAAATATTCACCATAATGTGCATATATTTAGTATACAAGAAAGTATAATCATACACAAGAGACAAGTATAATCTGTATTTAAAAATGTAATAGATATTAATGACTTCTTTTTATTTACAAATAGCAATGATTCATTATGGTAAAACCTACAAAATTCAAGACAGGGCAGACATAACCTATTTTTAAGTGGACTGGATTGAATTCATGCGTTATGGGAAAATAATAAATGTACAATCACAAAATGATTAAACTTATGTATGTGAAAAAATAAGTCATTGCTCACAGATCCCTTTAAGGCAGACATATTATATACACATCTATGATTTTTCTCCAGTGAAACATGTTGTCATTTGCAGTTATATAATCAATTTCCAGTTACCTCTATAAATAGGTGTCAAGATAAAGTGATACTTTATATTTGACAAAAATCCTCAATATTCTAAAATTAAAATAAAGTGTATAGTTTGATCTTTGAGAATTAATTTATTTGACAGTACAGTTAATGATTGATTATTTGATAATAAAAATCCATAAGGAAACATCTGTATAAAATTACTACAAATGAAAAGCATCTATTAACTGACAAGTAATAATGGACATAAAAGGGGCCTCCCTGGTGGCACAAGGGATTAAGCACCACACTATGAAACAATCCACAGCCTCTGCAGCACGAGTTCGATCCCCGGCCTGCCAGGGAGCAACCCACATGGCACTGCAGACTTCTCCTGTCTCGCCTGCTGCTCCCCTCAGCAGTGTATTTCAGTCCTGCCTATTCTGTTCCCCACTCTGTCTCTGGTGAATCCTGTCACCCCCCACATCTCTGGCCTGTACCCCAGCTCTTGTATGCATAAATAAATAAAATCTTTAAAAAAAAATAATGGACATAAATGTAGGAAACATTAAATAATATTGACTTTAAGCTAAATTTAACTTCTATTTTAGAAAAGTTTGTTTGTAAATGTTTCTAATAATATGAATAATAAATGTGCATTATACAAATTAGTAAAATGCATAGTATCTGAGAGAAAAAAAAAATGTTTTCTGAGAACCCATGGGAAAACCACAGTTTCCTTCCTATTCTTAATTAAAAAAATAGTGTCTGGTTATAAAATCAATTTTAATAAAGTTCTTTGCAAGGACAATGACTTTCTGAAAGTAGCAACATTAAATCTGGGCATTAATTAATTTTCAGTCAGCAAAGAATAGTGAGTCTAGCAAATGTGGACTGTGCATTGATTAATTGAGTCGTAGAGTTCTGCATTTGGTGCTAACCATGTTCAAGTACTTCTGCAAGGTCATAGTCAACTTATAATTGCAATCATTATATTTCACTGAGTGAATAAATGCCCTTTCCAGTAGCTGGATTGAGAGCAGGTAGAAAAGATTTTAAGGATCAAGGGTGAAGAGATAATGATTGCATCATTTCCCACAGAGAGTGCTCTCATTTTGTTTAAAGTTTGTTTTTCTCAGCAATTGTGAAGGCAATAATGTCAGCCATTGTGTACTAATGATAATATGTACCGTGTGAGAGCAGAATTTCATTCAAAACATGTTTTTATAATACATATGTATTTATATAATGTTTTGAAGAAAATGTTTTGAGGAAATTGTTGTACTTTTCAATTTCTTAACTTTCTCAGGTAAATAGTAAGTTCATAAAGCTTCAGAATATAAAAGTTTACAGCATATTAAATATTAAAATATGAGAGAGACATATTTTACAAATTATCTAACACTACTTTCCTCCTGAAATAAATCAATGGAGATTGGTGTTGTACTCTTATTGTCTCTTAACAGCAAAAATGATCAGACAGGAAAAGGAATAACAAAGTATCACAGTCACACTGAGAAATATCACTTAAAGTCAGTGGGTTGCTAACTGCTTATTTACCTATTCTTTCAGCACGGCTGTGGGAACTTCGTTCGAGTGATCCAGGCTTTCAACCGTACTCATCTGTATGTCTGTGGGAGTGGTGCTTTTAGCCCCGTCTGTACTTACTTGAACAGAGGCAGGAGATCAGAGGTAAGTGTCATAATTTTTCATTCTTAGTTAAGGTGTTAGTACAAAGATTTCTTAAAACTCTGTTTTAGAGTAAAAACGTAGACATATCATCAGTTGCTATAAAATAGTTTCAAGCCCTTTAAAAGACAAAATGTATTATTACATTTGACTCCTGTCTGCCAGGTTACTCACAGTGTAGCCTTTTGCCCTCAACTAAATATATGTGTATTTCATTGAATAAGTAATATATAGAGAAGCATAATTGACATGTTTATCATATATAAACATTTCCTATATGTTTATACATTTATTAACTTATATCTGTATGATATATAAATAGTAATTATCTTTTACTTTGAGAATTATTTTGAGTGGAAAGATGCAAAAGATAAAAAAGAAAGAAAATGGTGTAATTTCATAATTAATTCAAATTTCAGGCATTTGTGATATTTGTTCCAAGTTATAGAAATATAGTATAAAATTGCTTTCTCAAACCTGTTTTAAATAATTTATCTTTCAAAATTGGTAAACTTTATGAGATACACACCTGTAGTAGATGTAAAAGTAGGATGCTAGGTGCCTTTGCTGCAATGAACTTTATATAATTAATACATTTTTTTTTTAATAAACCAACATTGATGTATACTAGACTCTTCCGTCTTTGTTCTTACATGGATTAAAATGACTTGGGATTCTGTCAATAAAATATTTTGTGAAAGTCAAATATAAAGCTAATGAATAGTCAAATATAAGACCAATTGAACTTTACCTATAATGTTTAAGTTGTTACAGTTCACAAATATTAACAAAGAAAACCATTCATTAAACCAGTTTTTCCTTATGTCTTTTAATCAAATGTGTTTCTCCACTTACTATAAATATTTAAAAAACTGTATTCCTTTGAATTATATTTCTTTTGTTTCATTATGCAACTTAAATCTAGAAAATTCACTCCCTAAATGAAGCCTTAATTCAATTTTTATACATTAAAATGGAGTATTTAAAAGATTTTATACATTATACATTTATACATTTTATACATTAAAATGGAGTATTTAAAAGCAGTATTTAAAAGATTAAATACTGCTACTAAAATACTTTATTAACTTTGTTTTTCTTTAATAAGGGTTGCTCTACTTATTAACTTTATTTTTTTAATAAGGATCACTCTACTATAGTACTAATATTATTTAACAATGATTCTCTATATCCCTTTATTATTAAATTTTTTCAGACATATAATTTGCACATATGTATTTCTTTTTGGAATTAAAAATCATTTTAAAAGAGTAATTAAAGCTTAGCCCTGAATTGAAACATTTCCAGTGGCTCAAGATGATATGAAATATATAAATTCTTAAAGAAAAAGTAAATCTATGCTTCTTGAAAAAGTACAGTTGGCTGCATTGAGCTTGTCATTACAACCACATGCCTGTGATCAATTGATTAAATAAACTACTGCCCCAGACGTCTGCAATCTGTCAGACACTCTGCTGAAGACTGAACAGTCACTGTACAAGCCAACAATAGCATAGGATTTTTCAGAGCACAGAATTCAAATAAAGTCATTTTCCCATGTACAAATTGCCCACTATGCACTTTAAGGCTTAATTGGAAAGTCTGTCCAAAATATAATCTCCTTTGGAAAACCAGCATGGAATCAATTTTAATCACTTTGCTAAATATGAACTACTTTAGTCTCACTTCAAAAGATATGTTTCAAAGAGGAGGCATTTCCATTAATCTCTTTAAATTATATCTGAACACATTAAGAGCCAATTTAAGTATGGGAAGGGTTATGAATTTTAAGCATTATATAATTTCCTTGATAGTAATCTTAAGTCAAAAGATTTCACCATAGTATCATATTAATGTAGTTATAGTTTCTATAAGTCATAAAACAAAATAGAATGCTCAGTGTTATCATTTAATGTATTTATTTTTCTTAATTTAAGATAAAATGTCAGCTAACACACTTGGCCACGTGATGAAGAAAGCTGTATTTTGAGATACTTGTCCTTTTTATTCATCACTAATACTGTATTTTGTAATGACCAGAGGTAGTACTTACTGCTAATACCTTGTATTTGTACTAAGATAGGGCATTTTTCATATATTTGAAACCAGTTTGAAAATGAGCTAGGTTATGTGGCACTCACATTAAATACTCCATTTTATTTCTGAGACAATATCCACTGCCTTTTACCTAGCTGAATATACAATATATATCTTTGGCAGTGAGAAGTTGAAGATGACTCATGTATGTACGTTTTCACTTTCTCAGCAAAGTATATAGCTAGGTACTGAGCTAAGGAGTTAGGATATTTGATTATAGTGACAATGGTCTGAAATTATTATTGGAAGAGCCAGTTGACAAGAATGTACTTGAAAATTTGCCTGCAGCGAGGAAACCCATTTTGAGTTGGTGATTACAGATCTATGCTATGTTGGATTACCTAATGCAAAATGTGTAATATTTTGGAGGCAGGCATAGAGAATATAAATATTCTACAGATTACGAATACAATGAAAAGGTCAAGGATTCAAGGAAACAATATTTTGGGCAAAAAAATTGGAATTAAAAAGCATGGACTCTGAAGTGGTTAACAAAGTCAAGAAAAGAGAAGGCTGATGAACATTTTAAAAAGTAGAATATGTAGGAGATGAGTTTGACAAATTCTGGCAGGATGCTTGGATTAGTGATTATTCAGGTCGACCACATCCCTTCCTGGTGATGATGTGATCTAGATTATAACTGTGAATACAAGGATGAGGAATGGAGAGGAAGTCATTGGAAAGCAAATTATACCTAAGCAAACTCATCAGTTCCTCCAGTGCCATCTCTCATTTATTTAGTCAAATCTATGCCCTTGGCTTTAAAACCACAATCAGCTTTATTAAATTTTATTGTTTTTCTTCAAGTTATTGTTACTTAGTTTATTCATGATATAAATGATGACTTCTAGAAAGCTAGGAGTTACCTTTGGAAAACCATATTTTCTTCATCTGTAGAGTTAATTAATTGAAGAGGATCATTTTTAGGACCTCTCCAGGCTAGAAAACTGTTTTTTTTTTTTTTTGTTGTTGTTTTAAACTCTAGTTCCTTTTGCCTCAGGGATGTTTTGTCAATGCATCAAGCTCATTGTGATAGAAATAAACTAGTTTTAATTTCTTTAAGTAGACAAACTTCAGAATCATCTTTGTTTTCTTTGCTTCCCAAACTGTTTCCAATTTGTAATTGTTTGTCACGCTCCGTTGATTTTCACTTTACAAGTTCTCTTATAAAGTGCATCTTTACTGTTCTAACCACTGAGATCCTGGCATTTCAGATTACTATTAGTTAAATATTGGACTATTAAAATAGAAAAAAATTCTTGAATCCAGTGACCTTTTTTTAACTACCACTCTTAGTCTTCTTTGAACATAAGGTAAGTCCCAATATTCTTAAAGCAGTGTTATAATCCTTTCTTTTCCATAATCAAAAATATTGAAGTTGTGTTTCCTTCAGTATAATTTTGAAAATCCTTAGCTTAATAATGAAGGTACCCCATCATTTAATGCAACCTACAAAAATGGTAACTTTTCTCTTTGAATTTTAGTAGTAGATTTTACTAACTTTATGAAGTAGAAGATAAATATTTATGTGACAAAATGTCTTCTCTCAGTGATGCTCCACTGCCCATTATGTTTCACATTTAACTCATTGGCCCCCACTCAGGATATTCCCTAATCTTATTCTGTGTTAAAATTTCCCCCTAAGCACTGAGTGCCATTTTGCATACTCTGTTTTATAGACTCATTCATATATATATATATATATATATATATATATATATATACACACACACACATACATATATATTTATTTATTATTATTTTTGCATAGAAGAACTGAAGTGTAGGCCAGAGGTGCAGGGGGGTTAGAGGATTCACCAGACACAGAGTGGCGAGCAGAAGAGGCAAATTTACTGAAATACACTGATAAAGGGAGCAGCAGGCAAGACAGGAAAGGTCTGCTGTGCCATATGTGGGTTAGCTCGTAAGAGATTGAGCTCAGGCCATAGCAGTGCTAGCACTGAGACTTACAGTGCTAGCACTGAGCTCTACACCACCAGGGAGGCACCTATATACATTTATATTTTCTACCATTAGATTATAAATTACTTTGAGGTAAAGATTTTTGTCTGTTTTGTTTACTGTATTCCCTGTATCTCCAATGTTCTTTCAGTGCTTGGCATGTAGAAGATACTCAATAAATACATTTTAAATAAGTGACACTTTTTAATCTGAATTATGAATTATTTTGTTGATTCTGGTATGTTTCATATAACAAAATTAATTGGTAATATAAAATTTTATATTTAAATAATGTCTTCATTAATTTTGAAAGATCATGAAATTCATATACATTATTCCTTTATATACATTGTGAACTTTGGGTCAGTGTCCCACAAAACTATTTGATATCCAACTGGTTTGCTGATGTTAATTTGAGGAAAACTCCTTGGTGAATGTGCCTTATAGAAAATGTAATAGAACTTGACTTGCTGAAGTTCACTATTAATTTAAAGGTGTGTTCTTCATATAGTTCAAGAAATTCTTACTATATTGAATTGGAAAGGCATAAGCCACCTAGTGATGCTTTGTTTCACTGAAGAACAATTGGTTAACAATAAAGTGAGTTTTATTGTTATTACATTTTTGTTTTATAATAAAGGATCAAGTTTTCATGATTGACTCCAAGTGTGAATCTGGAAAAGGACGCTGCTCTTTCAACCCCAATGTGAACACAGTGTCTGTTATGATCAGTAAGTGGAAAATGAAAGAGTGAAGTGAAAATATAAAAATTAAATATAAATAAATTCATGACATGACCTGCCAGTTTTGGATAATAGCTTTTGAGTCTGTGAGTAAGATAATACAACAACATTTGTGCATTGAGAAATAGAAATGTTCACCTCTCATTTCCAAGATTATTCATGATTAAATCAAAGCATATATTTATAAATCTCATATGGCAGTGATATCATTCCCAGAGCAAGTCAGCCATTTACAAAATAGTATTATGTATATACCTATAATGGTGTATATTTTTTTTTAAAAATCAGTATTTTCTGTAGGTGTTTTTCTAGTATTAAATATGCCTATTTTCTTCATATTTTAGCAATACTTTGCAATTTATTACAAATAGGATTTATTTCAAGTAAAGCAATAACGAAGTGCAAGTGTTAGCTATGTACATTCTCTATGATGTCTAGAAGTTTTTATATAAAGAAGTAATGGTAAAGCCATAGTTTTACTTTCTTATTTTCCATAAAATAAATTAAAGCAGCAAATCCAACTACTTGCTGTTACAACCATTGACATACCAGTGTCTTTGATTCTCAATCACTGATGATTTTCTTTAACTCAATAGGCATTCTATTCTGGTTAATTATGAGACTTCTAGAATCTGTGTGACTTAACATGACTTGATTGTGGTGACAGATCTTGAATTTCAGTATACTAAATATATAGTAGATATTTCTCCTGCTGTGCTTTCCTATGTATTGCCTGGGATAAAACTGATTCATTTGACAATAGAACAGGTGGAAAAATAATTACTGTGTTCAAAATGTTTTCCTTTGATTCATCTAAAGAATCAAGTCATCTCTCTTTCTCATATCTGGAGATTACATTAAAATAGGTACATCCAGCATTTCCATTAACTTGGAAGTTATCCCACGAGTCATTTTCACATGGTCATTTAAATCAGGCAGGGAGGAGATGAAAGTATAACAGGACAAAGAAAATTAGAAAACTTTGAAACTACAAGATATGCAGTTATGTCCAGTTATGTCTAATGTGAGAGCTTTTCAAGTTTCTAAATATTATTTAACAGAAGTAGTGTCATCTTTTCTTCATTAGGAAAGAGATTTTATTCACTTTTAGAAACTGTGTAATATAAATGGTCTAGTTAATCTATTGAATTTTCACTTATTTCAAGTTAAATGTTATGAAACTAAACTTGAAAGATTTGTTAACACTCATCATGGGATTTTTTTTTTTCTGATCACACATTATGTAGAATAATAGAGTTCAATCAAGGCATTATAAATTTTCTTCTTAAATTGTGATAAATCATTTAATAATTTTGCCCTTAGAGAACTGAATGTATGTTCAAAATGAAAGTTTGATAATGGCCTTCATTTTCTAACGACCTAAAACTTCAATTATCTTGTTTATATCCCTATATTACCTTTTAATATTTTTATAAATAATATGAGCAATATAATCAAATAAATTCCTTAAACTATTTCCTTTCCTTAAAAATGAAACTAAAAAGATCATGACATTTGTATTTATCATTTCTTTGTTTTATTATCTTTAAAATTATCTCCAATATTGCATAGTAAATTTGTATAGAAATCTCAGTTTGCCATATAGTACTTTATACCTTTGGTTAATTTGCAGTGCACTAAATAAAACAGATTGATAAAACAGATAGATACTTCTACCTATTAGAGTGCCAAGACACATGGACATATAGAATTCAAAATTTCACAGTACAGTTGTGGCTTCTAGCCCACTGTGCAAGTTTAATGTTATTTTGCTATTTTCAGTCACCAGTTTGGCACAATAAATTCAGATGAAACCTCTCAAAGAACCTATCAAAAAACCCATGAGAGTTTTCTGGTCAATGGATGTATAATTGGAAAAGAAAATATTCTTAGATTAAGGTTAAAAGGCATACATTTATCTTTGCATAAACTCTACAAATAAATTCTAAAAAATATCCTACCCTCACACAAAATTCTTTCCAAAGTAACTTAGAATTTGAGACAGGAAATGAAGCCAATTAGACATGCAAGTTTTGGACATAGCTTTTAAGACACAATTATAAGGTGGTATGAAGGAGGATTACAATCAGTCCTCTCCATGCCATCTTCTGAGTGTCCTTTTAGTTTTCCTTTCTGGGAACAGAATTGATAATTAATAGATATATTAATTAAATAATTAAACAGCATTGATTACTAATAACTAAATCTATTGGATAGCAGAAATCTGTAACTCTTTGTTTTGAGGGTGATTGGGTATAACCAAATGTGCAATTCTTAATTTTAAAATTATCTTAATTTAATAACTATTGGATCTATATCAAATTTGTATAGATGCTCACCAATGTCCACAGAATTTTAATGTTAAATTATTCAAAACATTTTCATGCACATTTTTGTTATTTTTCTATTATCTGTTCTTAAAGCCTTAGGCCTCTATCTTGGATCTAGAGCTGGGTGACACAATTCCTACCATACCCGTTTGCTCATTGTTAGGGGTTCAGTTGATAACCTAGTGTTCACATATTAAAAACATTCCATTATACATTCTATTCTGAGAAACTGGTTTGCTTATTGCTAAAGAGTGAGCTTAGAATATTCAAAATGTTCCTGGCCCACCAAAATGACCATTATCTGAAGGTAACAAATGGAGTAATTCTAGAATATCAATCAAAGAACATAGCTACTTGGTGGTTCAATGAGCCAGATATTATAAATTTTATTCTCTTTTGAACATCTATAGTTCTATATTCAAGGGACACATATACCAATTTCATGTTTACTTTCTTTACTAGGATAAAAATTGATAGAATCTTAACACATCAACTAAATCAAATTGTACCTGTATTTAGATTTTGCCACCAATAATAATTGTATTAAATTTCTATATCTTTATTCTAATCTCTATGTTCTATTCTTTAGGCTCAATATGTTAAGTCATATATGACTTATTAACATATTATTAATGTAATGTTAATATATTATGTGTTGCAGTTCAAAAAAGTAGCACTTTGTTTCCCTTATAAAAACTTGTAGCACTAGGGCCTCCCCCATGGCACAGCGGTTGAGCGATGGGTTGCAAAGCTGCCCACAGCCTCTGCAGCGCTGGTTTGATCCCCGGCCACCAGATGAGGGTTCCACATGGCGCACAGACCCCTCCTGCCGCCCTCAGCAGTGTATTTCATCAGTCTGCCTGCTCTGCTTTCCGCTCTGACTCTGGTGAATTCTCTCACCCTCCCGCGCTTCTGACTATACCCAGTGCATGTATAAATAAATAAATAAATCTTTAAAAAAAAAAAAAAAACTTGTAGCACTAAAATTCAAAACACATTTCAAAGATTAAATCATTTTATCTTTAGTAGTATTTTGATAATTTTAACATGACCTCCATGTTGTAAAATAATAATAATAATAACTGTAGTTTCAATACATTTAATAAAAAGGTATTACAATACATTTATTAAATATGTATTGGGAATTTTTGAGATCATAATCTACTTCCCATATTTTACAGAATGAGAAAATTGAGATTCAGGGTGCTAAATGGTTTACATCTCTCTCCTAGTCTAACTGTTACAGAATTTTTATTTGTCAAAGGAAGTAATTAATTAAGCTATTTTCTTGTCTTCCCTATGTATCCTATTTCTGCATTTCTCATGTACACTGTATAAACAGAAGTATTTGAAACAATTAAGCACAGACAGGAATTTTTATTTCTATGTAGAATAAAGTTCTTTTGAGATTTGGTTTAAAATAATAGTAATCATGAAGGTACTAATGAGTCATGAGATTAGGCAATGATGAAACCAAATTAAATGTCATCTGTTTGTTTTTTAATTTGGTGGACAATGGAATCCCACTACCAATTTTAATTATTCTGTAATGTTTGAAATGCTTTAATAAACAAGTTCCCCTTAATTTTCAAATGAACCTTAAAAAACACTTAAAAATGTGTTGACATTTCTTATTTTTCATAGATGAGGAGCTTTTCTCTGGAATGTATATCGATTTCATGGGGACAGATGCTGCTATTTTCCGAAGTTTAACCAAGAGGAATGCAGTCCGAACCGATCAACACAATTCCAAATGGCTTAGTGGTAAAAAAAAAAAAAAGATATTTCATGCATTTTTGGAAAATAATGCTTTAAACTAAATTATTGAATTACATAATGATCATTAGGTTAAAATGATTAAAAACTAAAATGTCAGACCATGCCATAATGATATTCTGTACTCCATACTTTTAAATATGTATACAAACACATAATTGAAATAGTCTATAATTCATATCCTAACTCTTTATTAACCAATGTACTTATAATGTGTATGAATAAATAAAAGTTACAATGATATACATCAATCATGTCAGTACCCAAGAATCTTCTTTAATTGCTTGGTTATAACAGTGTTACAATTATATATGCTATTGATGTAATTTATTATGAATATATATTTTAGTAATTTCATATTTAAAATTTTTACTAAACTTATGACACACATAATGAATAAAACATATTCAGGAACTTCTTTTTCTTTTACACTTATATTCTAAAATTATCAAACTGGTTCATTTACTTTTCATAATTTGACTAGTACTTAATAGAAGTCATAGGTAAATTTGTGACCAATATTCAACTGTTTGCAGTTTCTTGAGGTCAGATGGAATTCATATTATGAAAGGTGCTTATTTGACTTTAATGTGCAATTCCAATAAGTTGCTATTGTTTAGAGGATGAAGAAACCACTGAGATTTTTGTCATTTCACCCTGGGGAAAGTTTCTTGCTGACCCTAAATTTGACAATTCACTTAATGTTGCACAGTTAAGTATGAGTCACCACAGCAAAGCTTCTTATTTCGCTGATAGGCCAGCACAAGAAAGCATTGATTGTCCATTTACTTCTTCCAGTACATCTGGAAACAGAGTATTCTAAAAGTTGTTTTGTTCCTGAAATAAGGAATCCCTCTATGTCTTCAAATGACTGCATTTTTCCTTGAAATGTTTCCCCTTCATTTCATATGCTGTATTTTAAGAAAAATGTGTTTTTCAGATCTTGGACTCCCAACTCCTCATTCTGCTTCAGTGAATTTGAGTTTATATGCACTAGATTGAAAACCACAGTTTGAAAAATAAACATTTTTCCTCTTAAAACAGCCATCGGGTTCCAGGGGAAATAACTGGTAGTAACACTTTTAATTTTGTAAAACTCATCAATTCACAAAGAATTTTTGCATTTACTGCACTTCCAGAATGTAATATAGACAGAAAAACAGTTTTAGCTAACTTATTATAGCTATGCATTGTGGCACTTGACAATCCAAATGTGGTATGTTGAGTGAACAATTGCTGCTTTTAGACTTTTTGCCTTTGAACATTGAATTCTTCTTCTCTACTAAACATGAAAAAAATGTGTGCCTGTGGTCTGCTTGAAAGAACAGTAGGTAGACTTTCATCATGATTACACAAAGTCTTTGTGTTTTATTCCAGAACCTATGTTTGTGGATGCACATGTCATCCCAGATGGCACTGATCCCAATGATGCAAAGGTGTATTTCTTCTTCAAAGAGAAACTGACTGACAATAGCAGAAGCACAAAACAGATCCATTCCATGATTGCTAGAATATGTCCTGTGAGTATCAGTGTTTTTCTAATGTGAAGACTAAGAAATTCAAATTATAGGAATATGTTTTCCAATAGTTTACCTTTCTCTTTTTATTATGTCCTGTTACAAAATAATGAAATATTAAACAGAATTTTAATTTCATGTTTATTCACAATGTATTTATGAGATAAATATAACCTATTTCAGTGCAAGTCTTAATTCAAAGACATATTTTGGTGGTGGTTTTAGTTTTGATTAACTTTTGCTTTCCATTTAATGCAATAGTATTAAAATGAATAATTTTATATTACAGAAAGAAACAATAATTCTTATTAATAAACTATTAAAAAAAACCTCAGTAAATGTCAATTATTGAGAAATTGTCTATACCAGTGAAAATTACAGAAACTAAGAAAATACTTTGGTAAAATAAAATTCTATTTAGAACCAGTAACCACCTCTCTTAGGTATACATAGTAAGTACACATAGCAACAAAGAAGAAAACTTATGCTGTCCCATATAGGAGTTTTATAGGTTTTTCATAACATATTTACATCCTTCATCATTTTCTTTAAGCAAATAGTGTTAATAATAGTTTGTCTTTAAATATTGCATTATTCCACTGATTGTGGAACTTACCTATTTCTCAATCATTTGGAGCAAGTAAGAAAGCCAGAGAAAGGGGTGAAATGCTTCTGGGCATGCAAGAAAAAACACATCATTAGATTCTATTTGTAAAGGTTTCAAATGCCATTCTCTCTGTCCTGTTAGAAAAATATGTACATTAAAACATCCAACTAGAGATAGTGAAGATTAAATGATAATGCTGAGAAATGAAGGACAGAAAATAGAACTATTAGGGACCATCTGGTGTAAATAGGAACCCACACTCCTGACCACAGGAGAACCTGCATGCTTCTCTGCGTACTGTAACTTATGTTCATTTCAGAAACAGTGAGCTATCAAGAAAAGGCAAGCAAATTATGTATTTTCCATAGCGTCTTAATGAATATTTTTGTCATATATTATTATAGTTAGAAAACTTTAGAGCATATATTTATTAAATTTATTTATTGAAACATTTTCAGTTGATACCATGCTATAACATGGCTTTCATAAAATACACTGGATCTTAATTTTTTTTAACTTGATATACCGATGTGGCTAACATTGCTGTTGTGCAGGTTGTTGCAAATTCTCATGTCAAAAGAATTCAAGTTAAATTTTTAATACACTGAAATATTTTTTAAACTGTCTGAAATGTGTTTATAAATGTTTCAGAATGACACTGGTGGGCTGCGTAGCCTTGTCAACAAATGGACTACCTTCTTAAAAGCAAGGCTGGTATGCTCAGTAACAGATGAAGATGGCCCGGAAACATACTTTGATGAATTAGGTACATAATGTGAAATTAAAACTGTTTTATAAAAGAGTTTGTAGATTTATATAGTTTAATAAATTCTTGGAAGAAGGTATATTTTCTGTGAATTAATGATCTGGATATCTTTCACATTTTTTTTTATTTTTTAATTTTGCTCAAGTGCGCCACTGAAACATTTAGTTCATAAATTCACCATGATATGTGAATGCATGTGTGAGAGAGAAATATTTATAAAATCTTTCTATAGGTAATGATATGCCTTTTGTTTCTGAAAAAACAATTATTTTCTAAGTTTCTTTTCTAAGTGAATGTGTATTTTATATTAAAGTTATAATACTCTGATTTGAAATCAGTTTTTATAAGAAATACAGGATTTATTTTTACTATTACAGCTAGTGGACAGAATAGAGGTTAGATAGAAAAGTGTTGGGGCCCTACCCTGGTGGTGCAGAGGTTGAGTGCTATGCTGCGAAGCTGCCAGAAGCCTCTGCAGTGCCAGACGAGGGTCCCACATGGTGTGACAGACCTCTCCTGCAGCATCCGCTGCTCCCCTCAGCAGTCTGCCTGCTCTGCACCCCATTCTGGCTCTGGTGAATTCTCTCACCCTCCTGTGCTCTGACTGTACCCAGTGCTTGTATAAATAAATAAATAAATATTTAAAAAAATATATTTAAAAAAAAAAAAAGAAAAGTGACAGGGCAGAAATCAGCCTTGTGCTGCAGTGGAAGCTCTTTTTGGTGACCCTGTGACTAAGTATTTTCAGCATGTGTGACATAAAGAGGCTTATATCCAGGTCAAATAAGGACTAACAACCTAATTTTTTTTTTCTACCAAGGGACAGTTCTCGGTTTAATCAGGATAACTTAGTGTACAACTATTTAGAAATGACTTTTCCTTTGCACTAATTCATTAACATCTAAAGTGCCAGTTATTCTCAGATTTTGAGACAGCTGATGAGATAAGAAATAAAGATGCATTGCAATATGGAAAAAAGTATTGGTTCTAACCATTTTAAAAATTAGAATATAGAATTGGTTTTTCAGAAGCCATTAAGTTGATCATATAAACAAAAGTTTCTATATCATTCGTGTCTTAATCTGTTCACTTATTATCGCTCCTACCCTTTCTCCCCCCACCCACAATCCACAAATTCTTTGCAAGTTTGTTTATGTTTTAGTGACTTTGGATGTTCCAGCCTTTCTTTTTTAGGGAGAGCTAAACAGTGTCAACCTTTGTTCACATATGAAAAGACTGTGGCTGTTAATTTATTGCTTAAGGTCCTAAATTTGTAGTGAATTTCTTCATACTTTGAACTCAGCAAGATCTTTATGCAAAATTATCACTAAATCCTGGCCCTTCCTATAATCATGCCAATTTTTTTTTTTTTTAAATCAGAAATCTACTTCTGGGTTCTGTCATATATTACTGTGCCTTACTATCTATCTTTCAAATCTGTCTTCATATACTTTTAACTTGATGTTGAAGGAATTCTTGATTAAATACAAATATCACTAGCAATTAAACCATAAGCCAAAAAAAACATTTTGTTTTACATAAAGGAAAAAAGTCACTGGAAGAGTTGTCTCTCAACCTAGGTCAACAATAAATTGAGGTCTGTATTTTTTTTTTTATTTAAGAGAGTAATATGTTACCATTAAAGGATATTTACAAAATATCGACAAAATAAGAAACAGGAAAATTTCTATAGCTCTAATAACCTGAGATATTCTCCAGTAATGTTTTTATTATATTCTTGTATATAGTTCTAAGTTTTACTTGGCTCTAGTACATATTATGCCTTTTCCACTTAATATTATTTCATTAGTATGGTTTCCATAAGGTTGCAAAGTCTTCATAAATCTTTTAAGTGTATTTATAATCTTTAATTTTACTTTACCATGTGTCTATCACATAGTTGTTTCCAAAAAATAATAATGTTGCAATAATATCTTTGTAAATGATACTTTTCTTAGTTAAAATTATTTTCTTAAGGTAACTTTTAAAAATTAGTTGTAATTGGAGCACTTTGAAAGAATAATATTTCCCTTTTATAGAGGATGTTTTTCTGCTGGAAACTGATAACCCAAGGACAACACTAATATATGGCATTTTTACAACATCAAGGTAATTATTAAATAGTTATTGATTTTATCCATTAAGCAATATTTATATAAACAATTATTTAAGAAGCATTTTTGCTTTGACTTTTTATTTTACATAGCATTTGGGATGCAAACTCCAACTTTATTGCTTTTGTGTGATTACCAAAGCATATTTGTGCTGAATTAATGCTTTCAAAGTAATTTTGTGCAAAGTATTTATGTTTTTTTTTATTTTTCTCAAAGAAGGAAAAATGTGAATTATAATGCAGAAAGAACATATATAAAGTATTTTAAGGAAATCATTTGAAGAATCGTGATTCAAGTAAATTGTGTGTTTCTTTAAAATTAGGTCTCCTGGAACAATATGAGTGATGACTCTTCAGAAATACACAAAACACTGAACTAGTTTTTATGTCCTATATGATAATATTTCATGTTTTTGAATATTTATATTATTTCCCTGGGATACCCAATCTCAATTATTTTTATTTCAGAAGGTTTACTATGTTCTTACCCTTTCTACACACATTCCTGCATACATATATGTTTTTAAACGTTGAAATTTTTTCTATAACTTATTAATGTCTGCTGTCTCCGTAGATTGTTTTCATGCTTTGTTTACCAACAAATGACTTATTTCAAATGAATAAAAGTTTTCAGCTATACAAGGTGTATCATCACATTCAATTTTTTTCTTGATGAATTATATCAACCTTTTTTGAAAAACTTTGCCATGTATTTTTTTATTGTATTTCAATTAAGAAATAAGAAAATTGACTTTCTGTTTGATTTTTTAGCTCAGTTTTTAAAGGATCAGCAGTGTGTGTTTATCATTTATCTGATATCCAGACTGTATTTAATGGACCTTTTGCCCACAAAGAAGGGCCCAATCATCAGCTGATTTCCTATCAGGGTAGAATTCCATATCCTCGTCCTGGAACTGTAAGTATTCAGGAAAGTTTCCTTATTATTTTATTTTTTGAAACAATGTAATTTGATAACAACTGAATACCATGTTGAAGTTTATTGAATGAAATCATAGGCTCTTCTAAAATGTTCATTATAATTTTTCAACTCATGGATTCCATATTTGGGATTTAATACGTGATAGAAGTTGTAGCACTCTCTACAAATTTTCCTAAGTTCTATTACTAACTCAATTTCATTTATATTTTAAGACAACTGGGTGTGTTAGGACAGAGATATTGTCCTAATTTTATTGGCATAAAAGCTATAGCTTGGAAAGTGCTTACATTTCAGTGGCAGCCTAAGAATTTGGATGCTAGTTCTGTTTCACAACTTGTCCTTATATTAAGAAATCTCATCTGTTTTAATGAAGGAATAACCATGTGAAAATTAATTTAGAGAATACTCATGGGGAGATATTTTAATTTTGAGGTATATTTAGTTTAACATTACATGTTATATATTTATCAAAAAAAGGCAGTGGTACGTGTGCACAGATAATTACTATAAAAGTGTTGTTATAAAGCAAATATAATTTTCACAAAATAATATACAATTTAGATTTATTTAACTGTATGCAACTTAAGCAATTAAAAATTTCCTGAACTAAAGCAAATTTTAAGAAAGTTATGTTCCTCTTGGTTTCCTAGGTAGGCAGCACAATGGTTAATTATTGATATGTATGTATATAGGACAATTAACTTCTAATTAACTTTGGAGACTTATAGCTATTGCTACTTATCCATAAAATAATTAAATCAATTTTAAAGGCCAGGTTAATGATGACTGGTAACCAAGTTCTACCTTAGAAGTCACAATCTTTTTGTAAATGACCTCACTTTGATGTTCAGAGTTCAACAAAGAATGGGCAAATTATTTTATATAAACACGGAAAAGAAGTCAACAGAAAATTACATCCTAGGGTGCCTCTATTTGGAGTGTGTTGGATGAGAAGCACTATTACATAAGAGAAGGGAATTGAAGGGTGAAACTCAGCAACTTTTAAATTCCATTGTAACTCAAAGCTCTCATTATTACTTTCAGTGCATTTCATACATTTCCAAATCATTCACTGATAACTTATTCAAAGATAAATCATATTTTGGAGAAAATTACTTACTATTTGATGTTGATGACTAAGTAGTTGTTTCATTCTACTACAGACCATTCAGAAGTGATTATAATTGCATATGCTTTTATCAGCATATAATTCTATTGAAATATAGATGGGGTTAGCATTCAATAAATCTCCATTGCCGCCAAATAAAACCTTGCAAGAAAACCACAAATAAACAAATAAAACAGATAAAAGAGAGACTTGCTAATTGATTCAGGGTTCTAGGCCTGAGAACATCAACAAGTGTGGCCTGGAGCTAGCTTGTACCAGCTCACAAGATCAGATTACATGTGCCTTGCCTCAAGGACATCAGAGTAGAACCTTGAAATGAGTCATGGTGGGAGTATTCACACCAAAGAAAATGGTCAGTGCTACAAATTAGGGATTTTTTTTTTAAGAAACTCCCCATTATCCCTCATCAGACTCTTCACCTAAATGGCAACTCCAAAGGACTGTGAGGGTCACAGAAAGCCACCTATGTCAAATAGTTATTATTCCACATAAAATGGGGTAGAGAGACCATTTTTACTAAAACAAAATAAACCAATCCTATAATAGAAAATTCTGCTAGCAGTCCTGCTTTTCTCTATTTCCAAGCTCCTAAGGAAAAGCATTATATTTTCCTGTTGGGTTGTATGGAATAAGCCAGAGGACTTAGTGACACACATCTGGAGCAAACTCCATGAAAAAAGGGAGTAGTCAGTACTTGAAACATATTTCTATAATGTGGTTTTCTACATCTGGTGCTGAGACCAGAACAGCTCCTTTAAATTAAAAAAATTGTCAGATGAGTGATCCTTAGGGAATAAAATCAGCAGGGTGGAGGAATGACCTCTGGAACTCCTCCTGGAAAAGCATACCTTCCTGAAGATTTGGTCCCTCCACCCTTCACTGAGCAATGCAGTATGAAGTCAGCTCTCTGACTTAGAATGGTCAGTGTATGTCTATTCTGTCTTCTCTCGGCTTCCAGGACTTAATATCCTGCTCATGTAGCCAGAAGACCTACAGCCAACTGACCCAAAGCATTCCCTCTTGTCTCGGGTTAAGAATGTTGCCTCTGAAGTCCTCCCAAAGATAGATCAACTTTATTTCCCTGCACAGTAGTTCAGTTGCCAGGTCAACTTCATAAATATATGACTGGAGTCTTACGGAAGTGACACTGGCAGAAATTTTATACTCTCATTCTAATGTTCCCTGTAGGTGCTTCTTTTAAAGCAGGGTTGATAGCTGTGTTAGCAAGCTGCCCCAACCAGCAAGTCAGTAGGAAGAAGCCTGCCAATTGTGTCATAATGTTTTTCCATAAGTAATTCAAGTTTGTGGAAGAAACAAGACACCTTTGGTATGTTGCAAAAGGGCAGCCAAAAACTGCAGCTTCTCTCTGTGGCTGAGCTGAATACTACATTATTCTCTTGCAACATGTATAAGCTTTACTAGAAGCATGTGTTTGCATATACTGTCTTGTTAAAGAAGAACCTATTAAAAGTGTTTAGTTTTAACATAGATTTATTACTGAAGTAGAACCATCTGATTTGATTATCATGCTTTGAACATATCTAGTCCCAAGTTCAATAAAATACCACAGAAAAATCATGATCCACATAGTCCAAGGTGGCAAAAAAAAAGTTCTTTGTTAGCACTTTTGTTGAGTAGATGCACTTCCTTTAATTTTGTTTTTTGTTATTTCACTTTTATTTGTTTTTAGCTTGTATTATTTCAGTTCATGTTTTTAATTGTATTTTTATTGAGATAAACTTGGCTGAAAACATTGTATGTGATTCAAGAATATAGGTTCACACCTCTTCAGATATATGTTACCACACCACCCCCACCACCAAGGCACCCTCTTTACATGCATCTTCTCTTTGTTCTTACATTAGAAGTATTTCTATTTCTTATCACTGTTTAAAATCATTCAGTCAGTAAATATTGAATACAGAAGGCAAATAGACATGAAAAGTCAATTACTTAGTGTTTCACATCGTTATTAAAAATATGTGAATAAAACAGACATCAGATATTACTGCAGTTTAGAGATTAGTGGCGGGTTATTCGTTGGGAAGGCATCAAACAAGCATGAGTCTGAACTGCTGGCTGTTGATAAGTAAGGAAGGATTTTCAAGCAGAGTTTACAGCATATATCACAAGGCAAAGATGAAAATAAATGAGTCCTAGGATCTCTGCATGGGCTAGTAGAACTGGAACAGAGGACTCTTGCAGGTAGTAAAGGATAAATGTAAGGAAAGGATCATTTCTAAAGCCTAAGTGCAAGTCGTCAACTGTGTCATTCTTTGGGCTTTAAATAAAAGGCCTAGACTGCCAAAGGTTTAAACATAAGATCACTTACTCTCAGATACAAGTTTCACAGACCAATGTTAGAAACTTGTCCAGATTCTGAGATGCCACTAAATCCATCTGTTTATCCATATACTACTCATATTTCAAGTGTCAGTTCAAGCCACCACCTTCCGCCGCCCCTCGACCATGCCAAACTCTCCTCTAGTTTTGCATTTACTCTCTGCTATCTGTTTTTGGCCTCAATTACTACCTGTTCCCCTCCCCCTTTATATTCTATGATCCAATAATTACAATTCCCTAAATACCTCAAACTTTGTTTACATATCTCTAAACTGGTTCACCGACCCTAGCAGCCCATAAGTGCTCCACTATTCTAAATTTGCTCAAAAAATGTTGACTCTTAAACATGTACAGCGGTTGATTATAAATCAAGCTGTTATTTATTTATATTTGCCTTAAATTATTACTATATATCTTGTTATTTTGCTTGAGCGTGTCCATTTCCTTACATCAAAATACTTTGTGAATAAAAACTGTCCAAATAATGGAATATGATTTATATATCACTATGTTTTTTTTTAAGATTTTATTTATTTATTTATAGAAGCCCTGGGTACAGTCAGAAGCACAGGAGGGTGAGAGAATTCATCAGAGACAGAGTGGGGAGCAGAACAGGCAAACTGATGAAATACACTGCTGAGGGGAGCAGCAGGCACCTCAGGAGAGGTCTGCTGCGCCATGTGGGACCCTTGCTGGCGGCCGGGGATTAAACCTGCGCTGCGGAGGCTGCGGGCAGTTTCACAGCTCACGGGCAGTTTTGCAGTCCAGCGCTCAACCGCTGCGCCACCAGGGAGGCCCAAATATATCACTATGTTAGTACTGAAAACAAGTATAATGAATGTAAGGATTAGGACAATATTTAGGTACATTGGAGAATGGCAGATGCTCAGGAATATCTAAGAAATGGGAAAGAAATTATGTAAGGGTAACAATCGCTGATTTTGCTATAACATGGCTTCTTTATTGTTCCTAGCAGTTCACCTATGTTTTAGTAATTAAAACACTTCAAATGTCTTTACTCAAAAAAGGAGTGCTTATCACTGCTCGATAAACTGAAAGCCAGAACTGGGAAAGAACAAACACTTCAAAAAGAAAAGTTTAACCAAAATTACTTAATGACTCTATGTAGAGTTAAATTTCTCCTCTGAAGAATTGATACATAAGCCTAATTAGTCATCAAAGGCATTATTTTATGTTAGCACATGGATGTTATGTTATCTTGAGATTTCAATACACATGATTTAATATATTACAAGGTGAAGGACAAATCCTATCTTATTTATACTTGCAGTATTATGCTGAGCAAACATACAAGTCCAGATAGAGAATCTGCAAAGGGTGATTAAAGATTATGCCATGAATCAATGAAGTTAATTGTCAAAAGAATTGTGATTTAGAAAATAACCTCATACTAGGAAATGCTTGCTTCTAAGTAAGAAGTTTATTGTGAATATAAAGAAAAATGCCAAATTGGGACTATTAGGATCGATAAAAAATAGCTGATTTGAGTTGATTTGTTTGGGTTACTTATTTAATAACTACAAATTTGGACTACCAAAACATAATTTTATATGAATTTCAGTTATTGTTAAATAAAACCCAGAAACTAGATACTTACATATTTAATAAGCTTATCTCATATGAAAATACGTGCTAACGAGAAATGATACAAGTAGCCTAGTAACGCATGCTAATTTTGGATCTTTCTAACTCTTACAAACGAATGCTTGCAAATATTTAGGGAGATATCTCAGCTTGGCAAGCCATAATTAGTGGTGTTTTAAGAAGGACTGGAACTATTTAAATTGCCCATGCATTTGTTCTTTCCATGTTTTCATTCAGTGAGCAATGTAGTTCCCTTTTTCCATTTTGTGTGAAGGATGAGGGTAGAGAATACCCATAATTCTATACTTTTTTTGAAGCATGGAATACATCCATCACCTTAAAACACCCTCAAATGAAATTCTTTGTCCTCATTTGGTCTTCACTGTGGGCAATTTTTAAACATGTATATTTAAATAAAATGCTTCTTCCTAAAAGAAAAACATATGAGTCCCAGATGAAAGTGTAGTTAATGGGATAATGAATAAGAAGTTTAGTTTTATCATCTTGTTTTTCCCTCCTTAGTGAAGACAATTATTGCTTTCTGTTCCTTCTACAAAAAGAATACTATATTTCCTAGTCCTATAAAATTTTTCAATAATGTTAACTGCTCAAAGTTAGTCTCAATATGTAAAATGGATGATGCAGTCTTTATGAGCAAGGCTGCATTAGTCATTTGTTGGCTTATTTGCAAATGTGGGTCTGCCTGGCACCAGTGACCCAGAGGAATGAACATTCTTGGCTAACTGTTGCAAGGATTTAACCCAGAGGTTGCCATGTTTTGTTTTATCCCTAAAGTTGTTTTTCTTGTTTTCATTGGTGAACATTAAAATTTTGGCAGGTTTCACATAAAATTCCACATTTTCATCTTCTGTTGAAATCAGCCATACTCAGCTTATATTCCTGCAGACAAGGTACTGCCTAGATACAAGTTTTCATTGTCCCTGTGAATAAGGCCTAATTTTCCAGTCTGTGTTGTCCACATTACATCCTACTGTTTACCACAGATGCTGTACCCACTGCTGTTGGTCAGGAAGCTTGCTTCACTGCTTTCCTTTTACCTAGTACCTCTCTAAAGAGGATAAGTGAAAACTAAAGCAGAAATGCTATTGTTTCAAGAAAAATAAGACATTTTTTGTTTCTGAAAGTAAAGCTACGGACAGATGTCTAATAGGGTTAGACAAAGCATGTTGAATTCAAAGATTACACTCAGCTATGTGAATATAAATAGTTCTTATAACTTAAACACTTGTATCCTATTAATGAGTGAGTCTGTATTCCAAGTTTCAGCAGCTACCAGCCGACCCTTGAGTTTGGCCTCAAATGACCTATAAATGGAATCTTCTCCTCAGAAACCCTTGCCATGTTCCCTTTCCAGCACCACTGTAGCTGTCCAGCAGTCCTTTCTCAGATCTCATTATTTCGTTCTGTCTGACCCTTTAAACTTGATGCTCTATCTTTCCTCTCCTAGCCAGAATTGAGAGCCCTGTTTCACATAACTCACAGAGCAAAATTGAATATCAGATGTAACAGACTCCCTCATTAAATTACAAATAGTACACATTATCAAATATCTTTTTTTTTAACTTTGTTAAAGGTCTGAGGGTGAAACAATGAACAAAATATACCTAGTTATGATCAACACACAGTTTAATTTCTAGGAAGCATATACACAGAAAGACAGGCACAGCTAATATAGAATATACAGTTATGAAAATAAGGTTGCGAAGAAAAAACAGGCTAAGAAGAGCGTAGGTACATGGAGCCAATTTTAATGTGTCATCACCTTTCAGGAAGTAACTTCTGAACTGAGAGCTGAATGAAGCAACAGAGAATACCATAGAGTTGTCTGAAGAAAGGTATTCCAGATAGGGAACAGCAAGAGCCTAGTCCTAGAAGGGTTGTATATTTGAGTCTCAGAAAGTGCAGAAAGTACTGTGGCACTTGTAGATGCAGACAAGATACATGCATAGGCCTTAGGCGATCCAAAGCTATTGAGGTTTTATTCTAAGAGTAACTGAAGTCTTTTCTAGTGGGGAATAATCAAGTCAGATTTACCACATCCAGTCCAAGCTCCAGCTTCTAAGAGTTCTCTTTTCAGAGGGGGAATCATAAGGACTAAATCCTCGGCACATTAGAGATGTGGTTGAATTTGTTATGATAATCTAGTTTATGTTTGTCAGTAGCAGCATTAGATTATATCTACATTTTTTTTTCTAATAATACCATGCCTGAAAGAGATAAGAAATAGAAATGGATGAGAATAGTGAAAGTTATATGACATGCAAAGTGGTATCATCTTCTCTCCAAAAACATTCAGGTAAATTAAGTGCAGTTAGCTTCATTTGAATGTTCAAATTATGCATCTTGTACATTTATTTTCTACAGATAGTACTATATATATAGTCCTGCTGGTTTCTCCACAATAGGTAACAAATATAAAAACTTGGGTTTCTAAGTATTTTGAAAAGTAGGGCCTCCCTGGTGGCGCAGGTGGTTGAGTGCTGCGCTGTGAAGATGTCTGCAGCCTCTGCAGCGCAGGTTCAATCCCAGCCGGCCAGCGAGAATCCCAGGCGAATCAGACCTCTCCTGCCTCACCCGCTGCTCCCCTCAGCAGTGTATTTCATCAGTCTGCCTGTTCTGTTCCCAGCTCTGTCTCTGCTGAATCCTCTCACCCTCCTGTGCATCTGTCCTGTACCCTGGTTCTTGTATAAAAATAAATAAATCTTTAAAAAAAATAAGTAAAGACCTTTTGTTTATTACTGGCAAATATTTTATTGACTTGACCATATATATATATATATATATATATATATATATATATATATATATATATATATAAATTGTTTGCTTGTTTGTTTTAGTGTCCAGGAGGTGCATTTACACCCAACCTACGAACCACCAAGGAGTTCCCAGATGATGTTGTCACTTTTATTCGGAACCATCCTCTGATGTACAATTCTATTTACCCGATCCACAGAAGACCCTTAATTGTTCGTATAGGCACCGACTACAAGTACACAAAGATAGCTGTGGATAGAGTGAACGCAGCAGATGGTAGATACCATGTTCTTTTTCTCGGAACAGGTATGTATTTGAGCTCAAATTTTATGTGTAATAAAAAGAGTTTGGTAATGAGGGCCTTGACATTGGAAACAGAAAGATTTCAATTTTGCTTCTATCTGATATTCTCAATGAGGAATTTAATGTCTTAGTTTCTGTATTTGTAGAAATAAGTTACTTTATAGGGTTGTTGTAAGGAATAAATAGGTTTGTTTACATAAAAATGACCATTGAACAGTTCCTGACACATACTATAGCAAAATATAATACTAATGAGTCGAAAGAAAGGAAGGGGAATTACTTTACCTTTTTTAAATAACATTTTGATTAACATTGGTCTACAGTGTTTGCATTATGGACGTATAGGGCCCCCTTCACTTGCCTTTGCCATAGAGCACCCACCACTAAAGCACCACCACAGCGTCTTATGCAGGATGGGAAATTTTAAGTCCACCATCACAGCCTCTTATGCAGGATGGGACATTTTAAACATGGACAAATATTTCTCTCAAGTGAAACAAAAGTCTGTTGTCTTTTTTCATAAATGTCATCTCTTAGTGATAAAGATAATGATACATATATATTCAAAATAACATTTGAAAATGAATTGAATAACTAAAATACAGGTGAGTTTTTTGAAAATTTTAGTGGTACTATTTTCAATACATTAACAATTTTTAATTTGTTATTTTACTTTAACAGACATATTGAGTGAAAGTACTCTTATTCATGCATGTATCTGATATGAATGACTAGCCTTGTATATTGTAGAGCAGTGGTTCTCAAAATGTGGTCATTTGATCAACAAAATACATATCACCCAAAAGCTTATTAGAAGTACAAAGTTGGGGGCTTCAACTCAGAAACTTTGTATAGGTTACTCAGCCATCTATGTTTTTACAAATCCTCCAGATAATTCTGATACATAATAAACTTTGAGATCCACTATTCAAGCTAACAAAGCTCTAGTTTTCTGGTTAGGCAGTAATTAATATCTTTCAACATCTCTGTAAACTTTTTAGGCACTAATGAAATTTCTTGTTGTAATATCAATACTATTCCATGAAACTTGGTAGTTTCTCTGCTAGTTTAATGCATAGATGTAAAAATGTATCTGTAAACCTCATTGAGAGGTAGGCAGCAGTAGAATTTATATTTTGAGCTAAAGAATGAATTGCTCTCAGATGTCAGTTTGATAGATATTTTTACTAGCTAAATGAAATTGCCCAAGTATGATTTTGTTAAAAGTTCTTATTATATCCTTGTTTATTCTTACACTTAAAACCAAGATCTAAATACTTCACTCTCACATAATTTCAGTTTGTACAGAGCTGAGATTGAGAAACTTCTGACAGATACTATTTGGCATTCTTCCCTACCATTGGACCTAGCGTGTGCTTTCAATGGTCTTCCCTTTGCCCCATATATAAGGTATAATTCTTCCTTTCCAGAGTAGCAGGCCCCCACTATACTTTCAATTTTATCACATCCCACCATTTTCAGAACCTTTCTTTATCAGTTATATTCTTATTCTCGTCATTCTTCTCTTTCATCCTTCTAACCATTTTCATGCTCAGAAGTCTTATGCAAGGTTGTGGAGCCAGACCTAAGATTTCACCCACTGCCACCTCTGTGATGCTGCTGATTTTGCAGATGTCTTTAATGATCTCATGATAAGAAAATCCAGTGGTCATAACCAGTGAAATACCTTCCTTTGCTCTTTGCATCATTTGCCATTGTAGAATCTCTCCCTACCTGTTGCTTCAGTGAGGAGTTACATAGATTCCCCTTTTCCCAGGCACGTTTTTCCATTACTCTAACTTTTCTCACCCATGAATGTGGCTATTCCCCTGAGGTTCTTCTATTCATGATCCTCTTCTTTGAACATATTCTTTTGCTGTCTCATTCATTCATCTGGTTTTATTTACCTATTTTGTGCAAACAAGTCCCAAATGTATATAAATAGTCATTGCCTGAGCTCAATATTTGCATTTAATACTTACTGTTAGGTAACATGAAATGTATGATTCATTAATATTTCAAACCTCATGCTTCAAATTCAATTTACTCACTTCTGGGACTCTAGTCGGTGCTTAATCCAGTCTCCTAAAAATGTATTCTTAAACTACACATTTCCCTCAAGATTCCATTTCTCCTTATTATATAACTCCCCTTTAAGCATATCACAGTAATGGGTAACCTCAAGAGTCTTTGTCAAAATGAATTGAAAATCATAACTCTGCCTATCGATTTTATGTAATGAAATAAATTCATAAATGACAACAAAAGCTAATCGTCAAGTTCATGTAACCTGTGATCTCCCAAGATATAAACTCCATGTAAATGACTACCAGGAGTTGTTTTTAGCCTTATCTCTGATCATCCAAGGTGTAGTTTGCATTTGGAAAAACAAAATCTTTTCCTAAAGTGAAGCGGTCATTTGGAGTTACTTCTCCCTACTGTCTCATATTACTCAGAAAAAAAAATATTCTTTTTTTCCTTTAGAATCCTTTCCTAAAGGTAGATTTTGATGATATATTTGATTTTTTTCATGAAAGTCTATAAAATATTTAGATTCCATTGAGGTAATTTTCCAAACTTTATAAGCTGTGCAACCATGTTTACTCAGATAGAAGACAGTAACAAACAAGTTTTGCACAAATTCTTTGATTTTTCTTACCACATGAGTATCTGGCACCTTTACATAGACTCTGTATGTTGGTACTTAAACACTTTTGTAGTTTTCAAAAACAGTATTTAGGCATATGTTTCAAATTGTTGTGGAAAGCTTCACTAATGATTGCTTACCAACCACATGAGTTGTTGTAGACTGTATAGGAAAGTGCAACTATGACAATGCCTTTGCCAAACGCATCTCTCCGAAGAGCTGGTAACTGACTTAACAATTGAGCGTTATCCTTATGGTCATATCAGACCACATTATAATTTAAAAACAGTGATTTCAATTTATCTGACACTCCACTAACCAGTATGTTTATATAAAATACTTGTTGTCCTATTAGTTCTTGGACTGCTGGTAGAATTTCCTCAAAAGGGAGTTCTCTGTGTTTGTTTAATGCTAAAGGTAAATAGTCTTTTCAGAAATGAACTTGTGAGAATCATAGGTGTACTGTTCCCGGGATCTCTTAACTTTCTGTATCTAAATCTGAGGAAGGATATGTCTTGGGTATTACCAAATACCTAAGTATCAGCAAGCCCTTCACAGTTATAAATAGTGATGCTCCAAATGTTGCCACAATGAGGCAAGTTTCTGTCATGGTTTCCCTTTCTGTGTACCATTATGGGAAACTCAATGAAGACATTAGTTGTAAAGGAAGCTATCACAGGAAAAACTTATGTGACAGTTTATTGGAATGCAGATAGGATGTCATGTAGCTGCATTTGCTTTGATTATTATGGAAGATTTTTGTAGGTCTCACAACCTCCATAGTAGTTGTGTGGGCTTAATCCCTGGTATCTTTTACAATTAGCGCATTACAAAACACTACACTCGCTGAGGCTGAGCTTGAGAGGCTGATCATCTCTCAGCTGAAGGCTAGCTGTCTGTGGAACTGCCTCGTTATATTTTTTGTGCTACTAGATGCCAAGAGAGACAATAGGTGGGTGGGTGATTGGGTGGGTAGATGGATTGATAGATGTAAAGAAAATAAAGAAGAGAAGGGAAGGCAAGAGAAGGAAAGGAAATGAAGAAAGGAAATAGACAAATGAGCTTTGTCCTCTCATCTTTTATCATTGTCTAGTGTAGGGATCAACAAACTACAACCTGGACCAAATCAAACCCATTGCATGTCGAATCCATAAGCTAAGAATGTTGTTTAACATTGTTAAATATTGAAAAAATAATAAAAAGACTACTTCATGAACAGTGAAAATTATAAGATTTTTAGATTTCAGTGTCCATAAATAAAGTTTTATTAAATTACAGCCATGTCCATTATTAACATTTTGTCTGTGCTGCTTGTGTGCTACATGGCAGATTTGAGTAATTACCACAGAGAACTTTTGCCCCACAAAACCTAAAATATTTATTATTTGGTCTTTTACTGGAAGTTTGCTGATCCATGTTTTGTCATTTAATTTTATGTACAATTATACAAAACTTAATGCTTAAAGCTATTTTCTAATATGTAAATATAAGACAGAATTCACAATGTTGGTGAAATAAGTATTTCTTCTTTTATCTTCAGCCAAAGTTATATGATTATTTATTATATTAAAACTTAAACTAAGAACCAAGTTTACTGCTTTATTTTCCTATTATTCCTGCTACCACCCTCCCCAAAAAAAAACATGGAAAAGATATATTTTAAAATCTGTGCTTTGTTTTATTCTGTAGTGCTTGTAGATATTTGGTAATATAGTTATGGTTTTTTGTTTGCTTTAGTTCTTACTATTAGAGGTGTGAGTATTTTTGTGTTTCTTTTTTTAAAATATTTTAAGAAGGGCTATAAAACAGCAGGCAAGTGCTCTCGTAGGATTAACATTTCTATTTTAACTATTGCTAATATCCAGGCATTTGTTCTAAGCCAAATGTATTGCACAGTGAAGGGATTTTTGCCTGTTTTCCTTTTGCTTCTAGAGTTATGAAAATATTTAGGTGTCTGGGTCAGGTTTCAACATATTCTGTCAAATTTATGTTTTAGCACTTTACATGATTCTGAATGACATGTGGTTTCTGATGAAAGAGTGAGAATATTCTTGTGAATGGATGTTAGAAGTTTAGGATGATTTAATACCATTATGATTCTTTAATGTAAGGCTGATCCATGTAGAGTTCTGCCAAAATTTTTATATAGTATGTTCTGTTTCATGCTTCTTACTAGCTTCCGTTTAACTGAATGAGTACTGAGTTAGAAAGTTGGCTCCAGTAAGTTCTTTGAAAATGTGTTTTGAAGTGTGTGCCACATATGTGGCTAAAGCCTTAATATGTTTGCCTTCCAGACTTAAAGGATAACTGCCTTCATAGTAATCAGCCAGTTCTGGCAGTTTCATCTCTTGGAATG